CCCAAAGCCCCAGTAGATAGTTGTATGTCATAGCTGCACATCCTTCTAGTTGCTGTATGTGGGACGCGGCCTCAGCATGGCCGGAGAAGTGGTGTGTCAGTGCACCCCCAGGATCCGAACCCGGGCTGCCAGCAGCGGAGCACGCGCACTTAACCGCTAAGCCATGGGGCTGGCCCTGGATTTTTCTATAAAGGGATTCATACCATATGTGACCTTTTGTGTCTGGCTTTCACTTAGCATCATACGTTTAAGGTTCATCCATGTTGTAGTATGTATCAGTACTTCATTCCTTTTTATGACTGAATTTTATTCCATTGTATGGATAGACCACAATGTGCTTATCCATTCATCTGTTAGTGGACATTTGGGTTATTTCCACTTTTTGCCTATTGTGAGTAATGCTGCTGTGAACATTTGTGAATGGGTTTTGTCTGAGCACCTGTTTTCAGTTCTTCCGGTATATACCTAGGAGTGAAATTGCTGCGTGCTATGACAACTCTATATTTATATAGAGGAACCACCAAACTGTTTTCCACAGTGGCTGCACTGTTTTACATTCCTACCAACAGTGTGCAAGGGTTCCAATTTCTTCACAGTCTCTCCAACACTTGTTATTTTCTGTTTTTTCATTATTATGGCCATCCTAGTGGATGTGAAGTGGTATCTAATTTTGATTTTGATTTGCAGTTCCCTAGTGACTAATGATGTTGAACATCTTTTCGTGTGCTTCATGTGTATATCATCTTTGGAGAAATGTCTTTTCAAGTTCTCTGCTCATTTTTAGATTGGATTGTTTGTCTTTTTGTTGAGTTGTGTGAGTTCTTTATACATTGTGGATATTAGACCCTTCTCAGATACATGATTAGCATATACTTGCTTCTGCTCTTTGGGTTGTCTTCACTCTCTTAGTAGTGTCCTTTGATGCACAGAAATACTTATTTTTATGAACTCTAGTTTATCTGTTTTTTCCTTTGTCACTCACGCTTTTGGTGTTATATCTAAGAAACCGTTGCCAAATCCAAGGTCGTGAAGATTTACCCTTATGTTTTCTTCTAAAAGTTATAGTTTTAGCTCTTAGATTTAGGTCTGTGATCCATTCTGAGTTAATTTTTGTATATGGTGTGAGGTAAGGGTCCTTCCTTCTTTTGCATGTGGATGTCCAGTTGTCCCAGCACCATTGTTGAAGAGAGTATTCTTTCTCTATTGGAATGGTCTTGGCACCCTTGTAGAAAATCAGTTGACCATAGATGTATGGATTTCTTTCTGGACTCTCGGTTCTGTTCTCTTAGTCTGTATGTCTATCCTTATGCCACTAACACACTGTTTTGTAATAAGTTTTGAAATCGAGAAGTGTGAGTTTTCCAACTTTGTTGTTCTTTTTCAAGACTGTTTTTGGCTATTTGGGATCCATTGCAGTTCCATATGAATTTCAGGATTAGCTTTACCATATCTGCAAAAAAGGCCCTCGGGATTTTGATGGAAATTGCATTGAATCAGTAGGTCACGAGGGGAGTATTGCCACGTTCGCAACACCAGGTCCTCCAGCCTGTGAAGAGGGGATGTCTTTCCACGGATGTGTTTCTTCTGTAATTTCTTTCAGCAATATTTTCAGTGTGCCAGTCTTGCACTTCCTTGATTCCTGAGTTTGTTATTTGTTTTGATGTTATTGTAAGAGGAATTGTTTTCTTAGTTTCATTTGCAGATTGTTTATTGTTAGTGTGTAGAAATACAACTCATTTTTGTGTCTTGATCTTGTATCCTGCAACTTAGCTCAGTTTTTTAATTAGCTTTCATAGTTTTTTGTGAACTCTTCAGGATTTTCTTTATATGAGATCATGTCATCAGTGAATCCAGGTAGCTTTACTTCTTCCTTTCCAGTGTGGATGCCTTTTATTTCTTGTTCTTGCCTAACTGCCCTGGCTAGAATTCCATACAATCTTTTTTTTTTTTTTTT